GACCGGCTTGTTGTCGTTGTTTTCCAGGCGGATGTGGCGCAGCTGGCTATTAGGCACGTCCTTAACAAACAACCAGTTCACATCAAACTTGCCCTTCCACTTGTCCTGCGCCCACACACCTGCGCTGGTGCCGTAGTCCACCGGCGAGCGCATCTCCGCCACGCCGCAGAAATGCCCGCTGCCATTGACGCTGAACAGCAAGTAGACGGGCCCTTTAGAGTTCATGGCTCTGTAGGCTGAGTCTAGGCGCTTGTTGCCGTGCTCTGTGCTGCACCAGATGGAGTACTTGATGGAGCGGTGGATGTCATCCTCGGAGTAGCTTTTAATGATAAACACGCGGCCGTTTTTCAGGTTCCAGTCAAACTCCTTGGGGTTGTAGCTATGGGCCGCTCTCAGTTTCTCCAGCACAGGGTGGGACTCTGATCCCAGGTCTGGAGGCCCCACCCCACCCCCTCCATTACCAACACCACCGCCGTTGGAGGAGCCGCTGCTGTCCAAGCTTCCTCCACCGTAGCACAAGTTGCGGTTGCGTGGGGCTACCCAGCGGGTCTGAGGTGTGGGAGCAGAGTTGTGGTTCTGGTAAGAATGAGGCGGAGGCGGACCCTGCAGGGTCATCTGCTGCACCAGGGACTGGGCAGAATGCAGGGATTGCTGAAGGGGAGGCAAGAGACTGGGAGCATGGGAGTGAAGCTGGGGCTGGTGCTGTTGGTGGTGGTGGGGTAAAGGAGGGGCCATCTTGGTCACAGTCCCTTTATTGTCCCACGTATCAATGTCCATGCTGTGTTTGATGGGAGGTGGAGGCAGAGGTCCTCCGACTATAGGAGGCTTGTTCTTGGTCTTTTGTTGCTGCAGCTTGGCAGGTTTACTAGCGATTGCAGCCCACGATGTCGGCTTCGGAGGGGGCATTCCCATTGGTGTGCCACCGTTGCCTGTGGCAACAGCAGCCGCTACACTGCCGCTGCCACCAATCACGGAGCCTGCACTCTTCACACCTGAGCCACTTCCAGTCACGTCCCCGCCTATTTTGAGGCCCAACATGCCCTGCTCTATGCTGTTCATACCTGGGGCCTTGCTTAGGGTGTCACTATGGAAACCTGTCTGGCCATCAGGGACTAAGGTGCCTCCAAGTGAGCTTGGTGGGTAGCTGTAGCTCCCCCCGTAGGCTGAGCTCTGAGTCTGCTGTCCCTGAGAACCACTGGTGCCCCAGGCAGAGAACGCTGGATTCTCTGGGAAGAAGTTAAACCTGTGAGGGTAGATGCTGCTGCTGAGCCCGCCCGGCTGCCCAAACACCGTGTCGTGCATGAAGTGGTGGTCTCCATTGCTGAGCGGGGCATAGGGTGTCAAGTAGGGAATCGGTGGATCACCTCCTGTAGACCAAGGAGCCTCACTGAGAGGATAAGGAAATCCAATAGAGGGGGCATAGTAGCTGGACAGGTAAGGGTCTGTCATGGACTGATAACTGTTATTCTGCAAAAAGAAACAGAAAAAGATCCTTTTAACAAAATCAAAGTAAATGTTTTGCTCTTTCACCCTTTTCTCCACACTCCACTGTCCCCTACACCTTACACTCTGTTATACTGAACCGCTTTAATCACCTGATAATTGTCGTGCTGATTCCACTCCATTTAGTACGCCTTTTAGTAAGGTACTTTATTTTGCTTTGTTGAATTTGAGATATTTTACTTTCCTCTTCTCAACTTGACTCACGGATGCAATCATGACTCATACGTGATAATAGGAAACACCACTTATAAACCCACAGGTCACGCTGTTGAACAAAGCAAACATTATGTCACAAAACAAACCAGCATCCTCCTCTGTCACGCCAACTTTCTGCATGTCCTCCGTCACTACATTCTCTTTCTTTTACTGTCTTCTTCGTCTTTTCCTCCTGCTCCATATTCAGAACCCATCTATCCAGTCTAGCCACAATCCCTCTACTGCACATGTCCAAAAACCATCTCAACTTTGCCTCTATAACTTTGTCTCTGAACCAATCAACCAGAGGTGTCCCTCTATTCAATTCCAATGAAAACCTTACTTAATGACACCACTGAACAGCATGATGGGAAGAAAATATGCTAATCAAGGCTAACTGGCGATTTTACCCAGAGACAGAACAATTTATGCCACAAAGTTGGGAAGAATAATTTCAAATGGTTTTTATTTGAAAGCTGCATTTAAACATTAATGCTAATGAGCTAAACAATCATTGTTTAAAGACAGCAGCCCAAAAAAATTATATTAGTTTTGACTATATAGTCCAAATACTATTTTTAGGTATGAGAGTCTAAGATCAGACTTTTTGTTCCTTTGGTCGTGCTGTTTCATTTTATTTTATTTCTTTTTTAATGATGACATTAAAGAGTTTTATATTTTTTTATAATGTTAACAAAATTCACCAGATTTTTTGGTCATACTGCCCAGCGCTACACTGATTCAAAGTTATAAGAGGATAAACCTTAAAATCCTAAAATCATTTTATTTATAAGGTCTCCAAAAAGTTAAAAGAAACAGTGACCCCACTGTTTTCCCTTTCAACAGATCGAACATGCATATGTGCGCACATGTATATTTAACCAATGTGATCATATGTTAATTCTTTTACTTCCTAAAACTCAAAGACTAGTTTGGTTATATTACATTGTTATTATTCAGTGCTTTCCATCTCATCACTACTTTTGAGCTGCTGTAACAGGTGAATTCCCCCCTGTGGGATTCAATAAAGTTTTCCTACCTGACTGGACTGGCCGGTAAGATAGGGCTCAAAGTCATTATCATGGACAGCATCCTTCTGATGGAGGGAGCCATTCTGCACCGAAACTGAAAAGGCTGCAATAAATAGAATCAAAGCTGCACACGGGAACTTATACACACACTTTGAAAGAAAAAAAAAAAACAAAGCTAAAAAAAAAGAAAAATACCCGTTTTTAATATTATGACACCTCATGATATATTCACATTGCAGTTAATAATGATACAAACTAAACACCAGCATGTATTCACTCTAAATGTACAAATAGGTTTCCAAAAGATGTGCACTTTGTGCTACACAGCTGTAGACAAATGAGAGGAGGTCAACGTGAATGATGCGTACCGAGAATTAAAATTGATTTTTCTGTCTTCCTGATTGATAAATATAGCATTTAGGAGCTGACCTTTTGAAATATGTGAGGTACCTTAATTTTAAAAGATTTTTGCAGTGGTTATCACTATTACAAACCGCTACAGAAACATGTTCCATATTAGGTGGTGATGCACTCAGTAATAAGCCTGCCAGGCCAGTTTGTCCCCCTCTAGATACAGAAAACATCTAGAGATCCATCATCTCTTACCTTTGCTTGCATCTTGTCCTTTCGATGTCTTATCAGTCGTTTTGGGAGGATGAAAAAAAAAGAGAGAGAGAGCTTGTGTGGGTCACGACTGGAAAATTCAGAGCATTAAGACATCACCCTAGCCTCACACTGAGATGTATTCAGACATTTCCTCCGAAAAACCTCACTGACACATAAAAAGCATCAGCGCTCGGCGATGTGGTATGTTAGGGCCACTCTGATACCCACTGGGAGCTGTGGTCCAGGCCTTGGTTTGTTACCAGCAGTGAGTAGTTTTCCAGCTATCCTTAGCTTGCAGCGGGGGCATCGTCTCCAGAGAGGGGTGCACACCATGCTCATCTCTCCTTCCTGCAGAAATATAAACCCGAAGCTGAAGGTATCCCCCTGTTTGCTGCTTACCTGAGGGTCAATGCTAGCGGCAGACATCATTCATTCACCAGGTGCTGTGTTAGACTGGAGCTCCGATGAGACGTGCCGTGTGTAAGCTGCACACTCCGCGGTGTGGAGAGGCTATTAGCCGGAGAAGCTGGCTGCTTGCTCTGCGTTACTTTGCTGCTAACAGTTAAACAGAGTTAGCAGCAGCTTTTAGCCGGTGTCTCTACTCGACCCGGACTGTTTGCTCCTCGTAGCCCTGCTGGCACTCCGCGCTGCCCTGTCCACATTAATCCAGCGGGGCTGCGATCCGCTCCGACCCCCCTCTCTGCTAAATTAAAACCCAACCAGCCTCGGTGGCCCTGCTTCACTTGCCCCAAACGGCAGCTTCATCCGGGGTCTGCGGGGCGGAAATGACGCCGCTAATGTGAAAAACGCGTCCAAGGCTACCTAGCAGCAGAAGTAGCAGAACGAGCTCATGTCATTAATTTCATTTTTTTTAATTAAAAATAAATTAATTGATTAAATCATTTCTTAAAGGTATGGAATCTAATTCTAATTACGGCTTTTTAAGAAAACATTTTTTCTAGGAATGTAAGTTTTTTTTCTGCCACCGATTTTTTTTAAAACTTACTAATCATAGGTCAAAAATTAAGTTAATTTAAATAAAAAAATTTCTCAGAAGTTATTTGGATTTTTCTCGGACGTTTTTAGTTAAGTCGAACCATTTGAGATAATGCTACGGAATCCTGAAATATGCATGACAAAAATGTTTCTGTAGGTCCAAATTTTGGGGATAAATAAATCAGTATATCTTATCTTTAAACACAAAATATATCAAAATAACCTAAATAAGTGGAACAGTATAAACTGTAGCTCAATAAAATACAATCCAGTATGACAAAAGAAATCTCTTAAGGGGAAAAAATATTTGAAAGCAAACAACAAATAAATAAATAAAAAATCAACTGAAAATGGTCCAAGAACACTATACTATAACACTATGTTTAATAATAATAATTTCCAAAATATGGGACGAATAATCAAATTACAGTCACTTACATTCATAATGCTTTTTTGTGCAGTAGTGGTACAAAATCATCTAAAGTAAATGACAACATTGCTATATTACTTTATTTTTTACTCTTTTTTTATTACTGTTTGGTAGTTTGGTGATAAATGAAACATATTTTATAAGTTCACATAATTAATTTTAAATGTAGCTAGCATTTAAAGCTGTCAGTGTAACAAGTGCAACATTTTTTTTTAATCTAAACTGTACACGAGACAAAATTGCACACAAAGAAATGTAATCTTAAGTAATGTACAGTACTTGAGTAAATGTACTTACATTTCACTAATGGAGGTAAAACTGTATATGAATGAATAAACATTAGATGAACATTAGCAGTAATCCACTATAAGGCAAATTGTAGACACAGTTTATTCCACTGACTGATGACACACATTATACACGTTGGGGTCCTCCCTTCTTCTAATTGAAATTACACATAATAATAATTTGTACATTTTATGAAACATCAGAAAGAACACCAGCTGCATATGTACAAATTTAGAACCACAGTATTCTGTCAGACAGCCGAACCTACAAACAGTCTTTCACATACATGCTGAGAGGTAGCGTTACTACTGGATAAAACTAGAAAATATCAACATGCAATAGACTGGAGACTCCTCTTTTGAATCAGGCCACAGTGTGAGAAATGTACACAGTGAGATTCGGCATCTCTGTGTGAGTGTTATTGACCATGTCAGAGATGACGCACTATCAGACTCTGCAGAGTTGTTTGATCTTCTTCTTAGTTCCTTCTCAGCTTTTCACTTTTTTTTATTTATAATCTAAAAAACAAAAAACATAGGAAACACATTGTGCAGCAGAGGATGGGCCTAGCTTAGCTTACATGAGTGCAAACAAATGTGGGCTACTTACCAATGGATTGTAACACTAGAAAAGCAACTTAGAGGGTTTGGATGGATGGTGAAACTCACCAATGAAGTTAACTAAAATAAACATAAAACAAAATGAATGAAAGGCGTGCATAAACATGCCGTTTCTTTGTAATGGATTGTTATCCAATAAATTAGATAATGTAAGAAAATGAGATTGTATTTGACACTGATCAGGAGGACACTTACAGCTGTCATCCTCTTCTGAAAATGTGCTGGCCACATAGCAGGCGTAAACAAATCCCGGGAGCTGTAGGATTATCACAAAAGCATAAGAAAAGAACAGCATATTTTAAAATCTTCTGTCTTTTAATATTAACGCAAAACACAAAGCAGACAGTAGACTTTGCTGACAGCGAAAGATTTTATGAGTTAGTGGGAAAAAAACATGTAAATAATAATTTACCTCTTAATTCCAGTTAGCTATCTTATTTGCATTCCTACTCAGAGAAACTATCTGTCTGTAGATGTACTCTTAAAATATTACACAAGAAATTGTTTTAGATATTAATGGTTTAAAATCTCTGCACACCTGAATGAACAACAGGTGCGTAGGAAGAAAGAATTAGTATTGAAAAGATTCATTGTAACCTCTGCACTACGTCTTGCTTGCCATGACTTTATTAAATCAAAACCTTTTTCTCCAACTGACGTTCATCAGCTAGAAGAAATTTTCACATAAGGACTCAAACACAGTTTAATATACATGTTCACCAGCATACACCTTAAGGCGATTTATACTGTACGGTAAGGACCCCACCATAATACAGAGAAAATATCAACCAATCACATGACATCATGTGACCAAGTCTTCAGTTTAATAGTGATTGGGTCTTCAATATATGGAGTACAATCAAAAAGTTGCCATTGAGCTGCCAGAAATTTGGCTATTCTTAACTTTCTACCTTTATGTTCTATTAGGACCACTTGCTCGTGCATTTTAATGATTTTTAGCATGCACCTCAAAATAGCATCCACTTTTTTGCATCAACTTTTATGTTTATCACTGCTAATACTCCTGATACTCAGAGAGGAAAGAGCAGCATTCAGTGGAACAGTTATGTTTCAAAGTGTGAAGGAAGCACAGACGTGAGTATACTGGTCATTTTCATGATATTCATAAAGGTTTTGACCCATGAATGCACCCTGCAGTTTCAGACTGTTGTGTAGATTTATGCTTTAGTCCCCTGAGGTGTTTGAGGCTTTCATGCCTGCTCACAGGACACTGAAGACTTAATCTTTGTCCACCTGCTCTACTTGCAAGTACAGCTTCTTGCAATTCTACAGTATCTCCTTCATCAACATGAAATTTAAGTTGAGCACAGAAGGAGATCACAAATGCACAAGTGCAAGTGGCCAAAATAGGAATGTGTGAGGACATTACTAGAAGTGAAGATCTACCAAAATCAAATCAGAACTATATTTTTCTTTTTATCAATGAAATTAAGGCACTTGTAATAGAGTCCAGAACACCACAACCAACTACTGGTATTTCAAAAACACAACCTTTCCTAATCATAAGCAAACCTGAAAAACACGCTTTATAAAAGCAGAATTTATGGCAGAGCTGCTGTGTTGAGTGTATTTAGCATATGCAATACTTTGTGTAAGGAAGTAGGCCTTCATCAGGGTCCCCTAATGAAGGCCACAAGCCAAACCATGTTGGTCACTTAATAAAGATTTCTATTACTTTAAGTGTCGCTGGAGTCTCCACGACATCTGATATCAAACAGACTCAACCGTCAATTTTTTTATATTCTGTTTGAAGTGAATAATTAAAACTACTTTTAGTCACGTAAATTAACCCAGTGTTGACCAGAGAAATGAAGTGCTGTATAAAAAAGACATAAATATAGATTCATTAATTGAACAAAATTGAAATAAATCACACCCAGCAGATTGAACTGGCTTCAAAATGTTTTCAAAAACAGGACCTAATATCGCAGTAATTCACTTTTGTAGATAATACACAAACTGAAAGTGTGTACCAGCTCTCTCTAGTGTGATAATATGATGTTATTCTTAAATATCGGCTCTGTTACTAATCTACAGATTCTGTTGCTAAGCAACAGTTAGTTCCCAGGTGTACTGATGCATGCTTATTACAATTAAAATGACATTAAATAATATATAAATACAGTTATGTCCATATGTTTTGGGGTAATGACACATGTTTTTTTATTTTTGCCATACTATTTTATTATTTGGTTTTGTTGTCATGGGGTGACATATGCTGATCTTATTTTTATGGATTTCTGGACCAGTGTAGCTCTAATGACATGAAAAGACAGCTTTTCCACTTCACTTTTTAACCAGCCCTTGCTGTGAAGGCGACATCTGGCAATGGTGCCATTTTAAAGTCTTGTTAAATGAAGTGTTGAACAAAACTAAAGACTCACTGATACGAGGAGCTGGATGATGCAGTGCAGGATTTCTATGTACTGGTATTCCAGCCAGCAGCTCAGCACTGTGGTAAGCTCTGGATTTTGCTGGTTCTTCCATCCAGCAGAGGGAAGTCTCTCGCTTTCACATCCCGGCCCATTCTCCTTCCACCAGGAATGATGTGAGGATACACCGAAGGACAGAATATCACCATCCTTAAGGGAGCAAACAGACAGGTGGTAGTTCATTTTGTTAATATTATTAAGCCTGAAAAGCAGCACGATATCCATAAAATTCAGAAAACATAAAAAACTCAATGCAGTACAAATTTTATTCTGACTTTAGTGAAAATGAATCCATGCACTAAGAACCAAGTCTTATTTCACCTAATTTTACTTTTTGTCCTTTTTCTTTATGCACCAGTCACGTAAGAGTGTTGCTACAAGCATATACTTACCAGAAATGTTATTAGGTACACCTTGCCAGTGCTAGGTTGACCTTTGCCTTCAGCCCAGCTTTAATTCTTCATGGCATAGCTTTAACAAGTTACTGGAAACATTCCTCAGAGATTTTAGCCCATTTTAACATGATAGCATCACACAGTTGCTGCTTTCATTCTACCACATCCCAAAGGTGCTCTTTTTGTGATCTGTTCACTGTTTAAGTACAGCAAAATGAATTTGAGTTTTGTAATATGGTGCGTTATCCTGCTGGAGGCAGCCATCAGAAGATGTTTACACTGTGGTCATAAAGGGATGGACATGGTCAACACTAATACAGAACCGGTAGGCTGTTATTTATTTATTTAATCAATGGTAAATTGGCAATAAGGGGTCAACGTGTGCCAAAACAAATATCACCCATAACACTACACCATCAGCAACCTGAACCGCTAATACAAGGCAGGATGGATTTATGCCTTCATATTGTTTAACCTAAATTCTGACCCTATTCTGAATGTTTTGGCACAAATAGAGATGGGCAACATTCTTTTAATCTTCTGTTGTCTGGTTTTGGTAAGCCTGTGTGAATTTTACCCACATTTTCTAGTTCTTAGCTGACAAGAAAGACACCTGGTGTGGTCTTCTGCTTCAAGGTTCCACATGCTGTTCATTCAGAGATGCTCTTCTGCATATGTTAGTTGTAACAAGTGGTTATTTAAGTATCTGTTGCCCTTGTACCAGCTCAAAGCAGTCTGCTTATTCTCCTCTGACCATATTGTCTTGACCATGTCTACATGTGTACATACATTGAGTTGCTGTGATGTAACTAGCTGATGAGACTTGCATTGCTACATCTTCAAATTGATATAACAGAGTAACACTAATAAATATTGCATAACTGTAGTGATCCAGTTATGAAAACACTACACAGGGATGATTTGCAGGAGAAATGCCTAAGAAATGTTTTACTCGACCAAATGTTACATTTTAAATCAGTGAACAGAATCCAACCATCATTAAAATTAAAATACAGCATTGTTTGTATTCGGGGAGCTAAGACAAGATTGAATGACTGACTTGAAAATTATTCTGAACAGTTTTATTTTTAACATTTGTCGTCATTTCCCTAAATTATAATTAGGGTTTGGTCTTCCCGAGTGCAGACAGTGTACATAAACAACTTAACGAGACTTGTTTGCGGCTGAGGATAGGCACATTGCTGTAAGGTGTCTGTCACTCTGAGTCTGTAATTGGAGGCAGATCTTGAAAAGAGTGACATGGACAGAGCTGAACATTGTATTTAGGAGCTCTTGGTCCCTAATTACCTGACACGTACGTGACCATTAAAGTTACCTTTGAAAGCCCTCCCAAATCCAGGTAGAGACAGCTCACAAAGACATTCCAGCCAACCCACAACAACGTCCACAGCAGGTACTGAGAAAACAGAAGCACAGAATTACACTGGGAATGACAGCATGGACTGAGGTTGAGGTTGGCTGGGCTGAGATGTAGTGAAATATATATAATATATATATATATCACTATATAATAAAATGTATATTTTTTTTCCTGTTAAATACAGTAAAGTTATACTACCATGACATATTCAGCATAATCCAGATCAACCCAGCTCACTGCTGCTTGGTGTTATTATACTACTCAGCTTTCTTACAAACTTAACATGAGATGGTTTTGGTCACAAACACCATACCATACACTACCAGCACAGTTAATGCTGCATAGCACAGGGAGCTGCTTTTTTCCACTGACTACCTGATATTTTGTGGGGCTTTTTTTTTAATGCGTTTCATTATGTTTTTTTAATGTCTTACCCTTTTTTGTCATACATTAGATGGAAAACAAAGGCTGAAAACCTCTGTCTGTGCAGAAAATACTGATCATTTTAGTGCTTAGCTTGGTACAATGACATGAAAATGGGAGAAAATAGCCTAGATGGCACTTCAATCTGCACTAAACAAACTGCATCTTGTTTTTGTAATTCTCGCAAAAAGGAAGTGTAAAAGCCATTTTTAGTGGTTTTTTTCTAGTATGTTGTTTTCTAGTAGGACTCGTTTTGGTTATTGGCTGTGACTGTGTATAAAAGATGAGTATAGCTACAGTTGCATTACCCATTTGTTTCTGGACTGCATCTTGAAGCATCTGGCTGCTGTTATATTGTTTTTTAGAGCTAGAATTAAAACATATTTTAATGAGAAGAGCAAAGTCATCAGCAAGATAACCATTAAATATCACTGTTTATCATACATATATATATGTATATGTATGTATGTATGTATGTATGTATGTATGTATGTATACATATATAAGATAATATTGTGAATAACTGTGCAATTGTTCTTTTTGCAAAGCTTTTCTCAGTTCTGGCTGGTGGATTATCTCTTTGTGTTCGTACACTTATGCTTGAGTGCAATTTATTACTGAACTAAAGCATAAACTAAAATCAAAATAGATGAGTTATAAATAACTGATACACACTGCAGTTGTTATGAAAAGGAGAAAATACCTATAGGGACATTTTTTAACTTTTAGGCTTTAAATACATCAATAAAAACATTTTAATATGGAAGTCAAAGGGGATTGATATGCTTTTGGAGTCAGCGTCTAGTGGTCATTGGAGGAACTTCAGCCTTTGCACAACTGAATTTTTCAGCCCTGGAAGTGGCCACTCATATATATCTCACATATAACCAGCACTGGCATAATAGAGAGGCCTCAGCAGTTCAGACGAGACCAATAATGTCACTGTGCCCACTCAGCTGATCTCTCCTGATATACTTCAGCTGTAAGTTACACTGATTCATAACAGTTTGGTAATGAAAAACTTAAACACCCATAACACAGATATGTTTCTGCAGTGCTAGCACAATTTAATTATTTGGTTCAGAGTATCTTACTGTTTCTGCAGCAATTGTGGCAACCAGTATGACAAAGGAGCACACTGAGCGGACAGGGCATGTGCAGGTCAGATTTTGGAAAGTAGCCCTGATGTCTCTTAAACTAAAAAGAGGTCAGCTTGAGCTGCTTGTTTTAAAGCGCGACCTTTGTGCTGAAGATATTGTGTGCTCACAGTCAGCTGCCCCAGTGTGTGGGGAGTTCATTGACCTGTTTCTGCACCTTGAGAATTTGTCCCTCCTCTTTTCCCTCCTGCATTGCCCCTGAAATATAAGACAGATAATTTTGCACTCTTCTGACTCCTCTGTCAAAGTTGGTTGCCTTCTAGTTCACATGGTCTGCTGCCAACTCCGGATATAACATATGATTTAAGTAGCTGTGGAGATGCTGGTAAGTCTAAATAAAGTTAGCAGTCATTATATTGAGCCTGACTACTGTGTATTCACAGTACTGATCTTCTTGATGGGAAGCTTGAATGAACTTTTTTATGACAAACCAAAAACAGCTGTTTCTTATGAGACAACACTCAGTATTAGACTTACCATTATAACGTAGCGTGATCTGTACTGGACTGCACCAAACAGGCCGAGGATGACCATGATGATGTGAAAAAAGTTGATCATGATGGGAGCCCACTGGTAGCCCAGAAAGTCAAACACCTGCCTCTCCAGCACTGTAATCTGCAGGGCAGAGTTTTAAATGAATTTTAAAACAGCAGTGAGTGTCAGTTGAGCCTATGCTGCCATGGCTTGTTAGACCATGATCTTTGACCTTGTTTTCTTTTTATAAGTTTCCAAGGCAACTGAGCCATGGGAGACAAAGCATTCTCAGGGAAATACAGCTGGTTTATAGTGTCATGTCCTCTGGGGTCACAGTCCCAGTGAGCCATACAGGGGGCAGGGTGGGAAACACAGAGGAGGAGGGCAAAGTGGGAGCAGCCCTTTATTGTGGTGGTGGGCGGTCACTGCTATTCTCCACCTTCAACTAAAATTGCCCGCTACAGAAAATAAATGATTTGCTGCAGTCAACAAGTAGTAGCCTACTATTTTCATTACAGCCTATTCTGCTAATTGTTTGATCTATAAAATGCCATAATGCAGTCATTTTCAACTGGCCGAACCAAAAGTCCCAAATAAATTGACTTTACTGTAACAGAAGCGCTAACAGAAAAAACAAAAAAACAAAACGGCAAATAATAAAAGAGCAGTTCGTTTAGGCGTTTCTGCTTTTTAGATTTTACTAGCAAATTTTACTATAATTTAATTTATTACCAACTGTTGCGGTATAACTGAATGACAAACCTGAGTTAATGTGAATGAAAGAACATGCGTAAAACCGTTTAACCTGCTTTTGGTCGCAGTTTGCCTTAAATGGTCTTAAATTTAATATAGTCTTAAAAAACTGAAGCCTTAAAGCTTAATGCTGCGGAACTTCTTTCACTATAAACAACAAAGAAGTGATTCAAGCATAGCAGTCATTAACATGCAGTTTTAAATAGCATTTTTACTGTTGTTGTTGTTGTTGTTGTTTTTTTTCTTTTAGGTTGCTTTGAGTTATTAAAGGGGATAGACAGCAGCTGGCCTGATGCCTAAACAGATGTGTTTATGTCGAAGCATCATGTGCGAAAAGCTCTTACCAGCTGCAAACAGCACAGGAGGATCAACATGCATCGCGCCGAGCAGCACCCCATCTTCTTCTTCTGCTCCCTGCCTCCGCTGGTTTGATGATGGTGGTTGTGGGGATGCGGATGTGGATAATAAGGATTTTTTTTTAATCCGCTCAAACACAACAACCAGACCTGTGAACCCAGTGGCAGACTCTGTGAGGATAGGTACCTTTACTCCACGAGTATAACACGGAGGCTGCTGCGCGAAAACTACGGAGAAGGGGGAGGGCAGGCTGATGTATAAAGGGTGAATAGTGCCACACCAAACTTTTATTTATGTTTTTTTGGCAGGAAGTGTCTGTGATGCTCAGTGAAACTAAAGACTGTGTTTTCATCTTTTACTGCTGAATTTATTTCATGTTGCTGTTGGTTTTCAATTCGGTTCAACCTCAACCTTGTAAACTGCACAATATGCCATATGTAGATTATGTGATACAATTGCACATTTATTTGCGTACCTGTGGTATGTTTAGGTAAAATAAAAGTACTACAGATGCTTAGTAAGTATCTTATATTGTGACAATGATTTAAAAAAAACAACAACAAAGAAAAATGGAAAAAAATGAAAATGAGGTTACATTAAAGAAAAGTTAAAAACAAAGTAAGGATGATATTGTGCAGAAGGGTAGTAAAAAATGCATGAATAAATAATATGCACACTATAAATCTGAGAAACAGCTTCTAAAAGTGTAGGAATCTTATGCCTGACGGTTTTGAAAAGAAGGTGGGAACGTTTTCCTGAAACGGGGTTGAATAAGTCTGAGGGAGACGGCGCTCTGCTGCCTCTGTTGTGGGGCATGGAGTGGGTATGATGGAGAGCAGTTTGTTCAGTGACTTCCCGTCCCCCACTGACTCAAATGCCTCCAGATTCTGGCCAATGATGGTTCCAGACTTTTGAATTAGTTTACTGATCCTGTTGGCATCTCTGGCACTGATCCTGCAACCCCAGCAGACAACAGCAAAGTAAATGGTACTTTCTACCACAGACAAACAAACAAAAAGCAATGCAATACGCACTGCAATATGTTCAAATACAGGGTATTAAAGCTGACTGTAGCTTCTCTCTTATTAGCAAGGGCCTCAACTGTTCCCTCTAAGCTGAGCGCGTGAGCAATCGTGCACTGCTGACACAGTCTCCGCGCACAGAAAATCAGCGAAATAAAATAAATACATGTATTTACTTTAATTCCAATTCAGACTGGATTTTTTTGTGTGTGCAGCGCAGATTTTCTGTGTGGGGAGACCATGTGAGCGGTGCGCGATTGCTCACTCGCTCAGCTTAGAGGGAACCACAGCGGGTAGATCTGCATATTTGATTTGGCAGACATTTTTCTTTGTTTTTAAGCGAATATCGTTCCTGAGACAACTCCAAAGGGATTTACATTGCCTCCCAGGACTGAACGACTTCACATTGTAGCCTAAAATATACTGTAAAGCAAGCAAAATCATTTTTGTAGAGGCCAAGAATAAAAAACAAAAAAATTGACATAACAAGCCCACATAAAATATGATATGTATGATTCAAAGTTCAAAATAATCCATATTTATCTTCTACTGTACCCTGGTACTGCCCCTGGGTTCATCCAGGAAGCAATTTTCATTCCTTTCCTTATAAATCAATGTTCTTCTGCCAGAACCGAAGCACAGCAGATGCTGTAATAATTCAGTTTGTATAACTAAAATAGTAAAATAATATTAACACCGCTTAAAGTAAAATAGAACTTAGACTAACCTTGATACATCTTAGTTTTAGATAAAAACTGGCACATTTTAAAAGTGTAAAATAAACTCTGATGCGTTATTTCTCATTCCCCCCACTCACTCATGTTTTTTTCTAATCAAAAGCAGGATGTCAGTCAGATTTCTAAAAATCTCTGCTTAAAGAAGCTGCAAAAACAAATTGGTCAGGGTTTGAGGAAGATGAGTACTTAGAATATATGCTTAGTGCCAGTATGAAACACAAACAACAATTAGACATATGAACTATTTCAGGACATTTACTGAACTTCCAGTGTTAAAGTACCTGTCCTCTACGATCCTCTGTGGCACGGATCGACCCTCATACAGCAACACCGTCTACTGCGCCCTGATTGGCGGTTGCGCTTCCACAATGCTCTGAAAACACCAGCAGGTGGTGGTAGTGGTAGAGGTAAAGGCTTCAAAGGTCTGCGTATGGCAAGGTTACGCCAAACTACACCAGTGAAAAATCATCACTGGCCTACTTTTATATCCCTTTATTACATCACATTGGACATAAAATAACTTTAGGGAAATGTGATATATCTCATCTCATCTGCCCTGACTCCAGCTTTCACCTAAGTGGATAGGGTAAATGTATCTCACACTAGAGGCTCTTATAGGGGTCATGATCGTGCTGTGAAGCTTATGTGTGATCTCACGTCCAGGTTCAATTTTTTTTTAAATTGGTCATGGCAGTTTTTCTGACACTAAAGGTTTTACTGTAGGCTGCCATAAACCTTGCCTCACACATCAGCCATTTAAACAACCCCAGAAAAGTTATTTCTAGGACAAAAATACTACTCCTTAAACTATTTTTGTTCATTTTCAGCAGTACACTGCCTATAATTCTGACTGAATTTTCCAAATTTTTTGATACAGATCAAATTGTATTTTTTCTGCATCAGAATTAACAGAACCGTTGATTTGATTTTACAGCGGGGACTGAGAAACCCTCCTAAACTCTCCTAAACCAGGGTCACTCCACATATTAGACCTCCACCTGCATGGGGCGCCGTTTGTAAACTGAAACATGCCGAAATTAACAGCAACATTTTTCCACATTTAGCTCTAAATCTTACAAAAACATGTTTTTTCGAGTCATTTTTTACAACATTTAGTAAAATATTTGTAACTTTTCATATTTAAAACAGGATTTTAAATGTTAAATCTAAATGCTAAATGTTAAATCTAAATGTTAAATGTTAAATCTAAATGCTAAATGTTAAATGTAAATATTATATTTAAATGTAAATGTTAAATGTTAAATGTAAATATTATATTTAAATGTAAATGTTAAATGTTAAATGTAAATATTATATATAAATCTAAATGTTAAATGTTAAATCTAAATGTTATATATAAATCTAAATGTTAAATGTTAAATCTAAATATTATATATAAATCTAAATGTTAAATGTTAAATCTAAATGTTATATATAAATCTAAATGTTAAATGTTAAATCTAAATGTTAAATGTTAAATCTAAATGTTATATATAAATCTAAATGTTAAATGTTAAATCTAAATGTTACGGGAAACTAAATATTTAGCTAATATGCAAATTTATTGTACGGGTCAACGGAAATACCAAAATAAAAGCTTCAAGAAAACCTCCCGCGCTAAAGTGTGCCGGTCGCGGTCAGGTTCTGTGTTTTCGCTCCTCTTACGGTCACTTTTGACTGCCATGAGCTGCTTCGACTATTCCCTACCAGCATGTCCAGCGATTTAGCTGAAAACATTGGAAGAGCCGTTTTGTCGGCCATCCAACGATTCAGCGGTAATGCACCCTCGACCTCACAAACGCCGCAGCACTTGGTAAGTTTATTGTATAGCATTTTGGACGGGTTGATAGCAGTGTTAGCAAAACTAGCAAAGCTAAATTACTTAGCTAGTCCTCAATTATTTCATTTGGTAGGCAGCAGACAGAGATCGAACATCATACAACTCTATTTATTTATTTGGTAGGTAGGTAACAGTCGTTCTTGATGTAAATGTTTCCTTAGGAATCCAGCAATGCACCTGGACCAAGTAGACCTGCCGTCTCCACTGGGATACCATACTGCTCGGTAGGCCTTCTTACACATATCATTTAGCTGACTAATTTCTGTTTTTTCTTTGGTGTAATATGTCACCTTAAATTAAATCCTGTCAAAGTAATGATTCTGATTCTACATACATTTCATCTTCTTAGGGGTCCATCACTAGCAGTGTCACATCACCACCAACAACATTCACAAGTTTTACGTCATATTTTATTACTGTTTTTGCTCTGAAGTGTCTTTTGATTGCTCACTTTCATATTTTAAAACTATTGATAAAATATTACTCTAGCTAATCTGTCACAGTACAATTGCCTCAAATTACCCATCTTTTGTTATAGAATTGTGCTCATTGAGATTTTCTGTGCCGTGTTCTAGGATGGTTACCAAGGAAGGCTTCAGATTTCCAAAGAGGAATTGGAAAATGTTCTTTCCCTGAAAACATCTTTTACTGAAGCTGCATCTATCCTTTCCATCTCCAGGCCCACTCTGTATAAGTTACTGCAAGACTATAATATCTCAGAGTCAAAATTCAATGTAATCAGTGACCATGAGTTAGATCAGATAGTGTCCCAGATAAAAACTGAACATCCAAATGTTGGAGAAGTGATGCTGATGGGTCATCTGCGTTCCAAAAACATAGTGGTTCAAAGATGGCGCGTAAGAAAGTCACTGCGGAGGGTGGACTCTGCTGGTGTTCTATCCAGGAGAAGAACTGCAGTTGCTCGGCGAGTATATTCTGTGCCTCATCCAAATTTCATATGGCACATAGATGGAAATCACAAACTGATTCGTTGGAAGTTTGTTGTTCATGGTGCAATAGATGGATACAGCAGGATGTTGATGTTTCTTCAGTGCTCCAGCAATAATCGAGCTGAGACTGTGAAAGCCCTCTTTACTGCAGCTGTTGGACAATTTGGCAGACCCCTGCATATCAGGACTGATCACGGAGGAGAGAATGCTCAGATTTGGGAGGACATGCGAGCAAGCAGGGGTGAAAGCTCTGTCTTAATGGGAAGTTCTGTGCACAACCAGAGGATTGAGCGTTTCAACCGAGACTTAAACAACAACTGTAGCCGCATTTATGCACCTATATTTTATGAATTGGAATCACTTGGTATCCTAGACTTAGAAAATGCAACAGACCTATTTTGCCTTCATTATGTGTTTCTACCACGAATCAACCGCACTTTGAAGGAATTCAAAGCTGGATATAACAATCACTCTGTTTCCACTGAAGGTAATAGAACTCCCATCAGCTTTTTGCCTGCGGAACTCATGTGTCTCATCGTCACAACCCAGAACTTTCTACAGCAGAGGTCTCCATACCCTCCTTGTCAAACTCTGAAAGTAGGTTTGTCCCATTAAATGACAGCGATTTACAAGAGCTATATACAAGCATTCACCCTTTTGAAGAAGACAACAATAATGGTAAAACATTGTTTCAACGAACACAGCAGTATATTTTTAACAAACTTGTAAATGTGTGACCTCAACCACAGGATACCAGCGATGTTCTAAAGAGTGATGACACTTAATATTCTTAAATGCTGTACAGCAAATGCAGTTTTTGTACTACTGCAGAAGCCCCTCCCCTCTAGCAGTGATGCCTCCTGCCACATAAGGACTCAGAGTTAATGACTGACAGTGACTCATAGGCTATTCAGAAGGCTACAACCACTTTTAGTTTATGGGTAAAAACCAGTTATTCAGATTGAAGTAAAGATCAAATTCACACTGTAATACAGTATAACAGTGAAAATTATCAACACGGAACAGTCAGTCTTTAAATCAATTCACAAGATTATCTACAGTATTGTTTTAATCATTGTAAAGTTGCAATAGTCTTAATAAATGTTGCTGTTAGATGTCTAAGTAATCCTGGCTTGTTCTACAAAGCATGTTTAGTATACTCTGTGCATAAACTGTTTTGAAGTGTCCTTGTTTAAAAAAGAAAAGCTTAATAAAATTGTATTACACCAGTGACTTTATTGATTTGTCGTTGAAAATACAGAGTTAGCATTTTTATAAATCTATTGAAGCTTTGAAAATTATTACATTTCAACATTAAATGCAGTCAGAATTTATTTCAACTATCTTGTATGAAGTAAAGTTACTTGAAACTACAATTAATGAACAGGATTAGAGTTAACAAACCCACCATTTTAATTTCACTTTTTTTGGAACATGTTTAGATGGTGCTGAATAAAGCTCCATTCATGAGTGCTACTAAGAAGCAGTAATGAAAAGCATCATCATCAGCCATTGTTGTTTCATTCACAAAAAGCTGAAGCTCATTTGCACATGTGTGTGCAATCGGGAGATGTTTGCTTTCATCGTGAATGAATGTTATTTTAGGAGCTGGTTGAAAACCTATGGCTGGAACCTTGCTGCTCCCGGTGGCAAAAGCCAAGATGTGACCAGGCCTCAAAGCCTTCACAAATGCCTCTTCATCCTTGGTAAGAGTCCTTTCTCCAAGTGAGTCTCTCAGCTCTTTATCTAAAAACAAAGAAAAACCACCGTTAACCTGGGGACACTAAAATAGTTCAAGCTTGAGCTAACAACTAAATGATGGCTAATGTTTTTATAAAAAATACAGAGGTTCTGTCTTTGCCTTGCTTGTCAGTTGTAAGCTATCATACATCTTTATTCCTGTTTTGTGTGCGCATGTGACATAAAAAGACAAAGTTTTACTTTAGTGTCCCGAATTGTTTCATGGCCAGACTACATTATGTGAATTTCTGCTTACTTTCGACACACTGGAGAAATTCCCGAAATTTGACCACCATCAGCTCCTCTCTAACTCTTCTGTTGCTCCCAAGGACAGAATAGCTTGGCCTGAGAACCCCAGCAATTAAACTGGCTGTCAGATCTTTGTCCTCCCCCGATAGGTCAAGCAGAACACGCAAACTGGGGTTCTCTCTCAGGAGTGATAAAATCTAGACAGAAAAGTTTAAATAATGGTTAAATTCCCGTTTTAAATACAAAAAGTAGCTCACTCTAAATGATTATAAAATAATGACCAATTGATACAGAAAAAAAAATAAATCTCACTCCATAGTAGGACAAGCCATCAGTTAGTTGATCGAAACAGCTTTGCCGTTGCAGAACTGCAAGGTATAGAGCTGCATTTTTCACAAACAGATCTTTATTGGCCATGGTGACTGTGAGTGGAAGACCTTCAACTTGATATCGCCATGAGTCGCAGCAGCTGACTGCTTCCTCCAAATCATGTTGAGTTGTTGCATTTACAACCTAAATATTTAAGAAAAACACTTTAAATGTTTGTTTTTTTACCAGTGTACACAAATACTGCAGATGGTTCATTTTAATTGGACTCAAAACGTTTTTGTTTTGGTTTATTTGGCTGTATTTCACCAATAATTTTTTTTTTTTAAACAAAAAGGAAACAAATTGAAAATATAATACATGGAATTGCCTCTAATAACCAAAAGTGTATTTATTATATAGTATAAAAGAAGACCAGAAGACTTGTGAATATAGGAAATATTACAATATTCTTGTTATAATATTGCAATTCACCTTTTTCAGATTCTCTCTTAACTCAGGGTCACCTATATCATCCGGTGTTAGGTGTACTTGAAGAATGTCTCCTGACACAATGTAGTCTACTACATGTGGAGAGAGAAAGGCAGGTGCTTCTCCACCTTGCACTATTATCGTGGACAACATCCTGCCAATGGTTCGATATACTCCATTTTGCAAGTGTAGGATGTTAAATTTCAGTGTGCATCCATTTGGTGTAGCTGAAAAATAACACACAAAAAAGTATATTCTGTACAGACCCCAAACTGATATCTTGAGATTGACAGGCAAAAATGTATTACTTTTTTTTTTTTTTTACTGTTTCAGACACACAGAACATAACAGATTTATTATCTGTAGTCATTTATTAACTTGTTAATGTTCTGTCAAACAATGTTCAGATCAGGTGGTTGTTGCGTTTGTAACATTATAAAAACGAGTGTCGTCAACAAGCCTTTAGGCCTTGAGTAAGTAAGTTAGTTTGACTGTGAAATCCTATTACCTTCAAAAGCACCACTGTCCTGAAAGATGGCCTTCACCAGTAAACGGAAAAACTCCCGCCTTGGCCCCCCAAGGTCAGCAGCATCTTCCTCTGTATCATGTTCATCGCTTGCAAATGTGACATAAAGCATCTCACAGCTTTCTGCAAACTTGGGTCTCTTGAACTGACGCAAAGCAGTCGACCACACATTGGCTCGACTGATATGGAGTTGTCTTGTTCCTGGTGTAATGACTTTCTCACTATGAGCTCTAAGAAGACCTTCAATTTCTTCTTTGCTGAGCTTCTTAAAAGACCTATATAAAAAAGGGACAATGACAAACAGATCTTGGGGAAAAATGGAAATTTGCTGTACATTTGACTCAAGTGCACAGAGTTACAACATATAATTATGTTGTGATAGTCCATATTAAATTAGTCAGAAATGAGCAATTACCTTTGTAATTGTGTAACTGCAAAAAAATGATGCAAGTAAAGATGCAAATAAAATATTCAATTATCAAAGGTTACTTTCAAATCTTACCTTGAAATATGAACTTCACTCTGTCTATCAGACTCTTCTAGGAGGCTACGCTGAATTGCCTCTTCAAGAGCGTCATCTTCCTCCAGGAAAATAGGGCTAAGTAGATAAGAGATATTAGAAATCATAAAACATGTCAGCCTTGAAGAATTTCTCACACTACATCATTAAAAAAAAAAAATTAAATGTAAATCCTAAAGTTGCAGTCATTCAGCAAAAAAAAACCCAAACATGCAAATTGGAAACTTGCATCAAAACAATATCCTAAACAACATCTAAAATGAAGGATTTCTTTAACCCCTAGACAAGAGCTTACACAAATTCTGCCACATTATATGGAAACATCTGCTGTCCCTCTGCCTGTCCCTCATTTTCACTCTCTTGAATGCAGCTCTCTGTTTCCTGATGCTTGGCCTCACTTTCACCTGGTGTTGTAGACAACGCATGATGCACTGAACAAAGGAAAGAAGGTCAGCATGACTTGCTTCATAATGTTAACAGCCTTTATATATCCTTATATTAGTTTAAGTGAAAGTTGGGCACATATTCCTCCTTGGCTGTAATCACCTGTGATAATTCGTAAACATTAAAATGGTAAATGGACTGTATTTGTATAGCACTTTTACTAGTCCCCCCTAAGGACCCCAAAGCGCTTTACACACCCAGTCATCCACCCATTCACACACTGGTGAAGGCAAGCTACAGTTGTAGCCACAGCTGCCCTGGGGCAGACTGACAGAGGCGAGGCTGCCATATCGCGCCATCGGCCCTTCTGGCCAACACCAGTAGGCGGTAGGTGAAGTGTCTTGCCCAAGGACACAACGACCGAGACTGTCCGAGCCGGGGCTCGAACCGGCAACCTTCCGATTACAAGGCAAACTCCCAACTCTTGAGCCACGATCGCCCCAATCGGACAAATTAACGATGCTCTCATCAAACAAACCCCCCAGGAATTATTACGCACTGCAGTAACAAAATCTAACTGGTCATCGAGCTTAGAACCTCACTAGGTTTTCATTCACATCACATACCTCGTCTTCTCCGGCAGACTGGACTTTCAAAGTCACTATCAGACAGCTCTTCTGGTTCCTCCTGAGGGAAAAGAAAGCATGTTCTACATAAAATCAAATACAGTTGCACCAAATCACTGGTAACACAGAGGCACATGGCTGCACTAAAAACTGTTTACACCTGCTGAAACTGCAATATTAATTAATACAATTAATAAAATTATGTTAAGGGAACAGACTCACTTTTTAGACAATAAATATTTCTGCACTGCAATATAAAATGTTTACCTGTGCAGGTTTTTGTATCCCTGCCATTATATAGAGGCAGGTGGTGGAACAAATCGAGCCAACTTCTTGGCCACCCCAAAGAAAACTGCTAGAAACATTTGGTTTCATTAGTCGTTTACATCCTCTAATTGTACTCAAATACTCAAAAGGGAATGTCTGGCCAGTTGACAGTGCAAATGTTCTTCTGAAGATTGCTGCTATTTCTTCTCTAAGTTGTGCTTCAGACCAGTCAGATGTAAAGGAGATCTTCCCAATAAGGCCATCTTGTGCTAGTTTTGCTCGTGAATCTCCTCTCGGTATGAGAAACGTTGATGTTGAAGACAAGGGCAAGCACACAACATCTTTTGTATAGTGTTTGCAGGTCTTGTTTTTTCTCACAAAATGTGAGCGCGTAGCATGAGCTTGAGGAACTGATGGAAGAGGAACCTGAAATGAATTCAAACACAGATACAGATAGACACCTATGCATTACAATACATCCGTAAGGTTTCTGTTATCTGTTCATTAAAAACAAACAAACAAACTGTAGACTCAGACCATCTTACTATTGTCTACCCATTACACAGAAAACTGAACCTTTTGTATCTTGTAGATTAGCATTTGGTGATTGTTGGTCAAGTTGGTGATTCAGTTCCCAGGTGCTCTAATCTAGAGCTCCCAATGAGTTTATCCGACTATGACTGTGTGCGAATGTTGGACAGAAAAAGTGCTTGTATTAATCTGTGCATGTGAATGGGTAAATGAGATCTGTTGTATAAAGTGCTTTGAGCACTCAATTAGAGTAGCAAAGGCCTGCAATTAGGTCAGTGTGTATTTGGACCCTAACAAGTTTTATTTTGTTGCCCGTTTACTGAAACATATTCCAATCAAAATTATATCATGGACATGATGTGCAGACTAAGCTTTAATTTAGGGTATCCATATTAAAATGATGATGTCATTACCAATTAAGCAGATAAAAGGCCTGGAATTGATTTGAGACGTAGTGTTTGCATTTTGAAAATTTTACTGTGAACAGACAACATGCGGTCAAAGAGAACATAAGAGAAAAAAGAAAATTAAGAAATTAATACAGCCACTACAGTGACCATCAAAACGATGAAAAATATTGACGTAAAATTTATTTTGCGACACCACAGAACAAATGATAGCGTATAATATGAAATGATAGATGTTTTCATATCGTCATATCGAACAGCCCTAATACAGAGGGTTCACTGCAAGGTGCAAGCCACTCATAAGCCTCAAGAATAGAAAGGCTAGAATGGACTTAACAAAAAAAAAAAAAAAAAACATCTAGTAAAAGCCAGCTAAATTTTGGAAAAACATTCTTTGGACAGATAAAACCAAGATCAACCTCTACCAGAATGATGGCAAGAAAAAAGTATGGAGAAGGGTGGAACGACTCATGATCCAAAGCATACCACATCATCTGTAAAACATGGCAGAGGCAGTGTGATGGTTTGGGCGTGCATGGCTGCCAGTGGCACTGGTAGTGTTTACTGAATATGTGACACGGGACTGAAGCAGCTGAATGTGTTCAGATACATACTTGTCTGCTTAAGTCCAGCTAAAAGTAGTCACATTGATTGGGCAGCATTTAATAATAAAGATGGAAGATGACCCAAAACGTACAGTCCAAGCACCCCATGACTTTAATAAAGTAAAGAAATAGAATATTCTTGAATGGCCAAGTCAGTCACTGGATTTTAACCCAATTGAGCATACATTTCAGTTGTTGAAGACTAAATTTAGGACAGAAAGGCCCACAAACAAACAGCAACTGAAAGCCAATGCAGTAAAGGCCTGGCAGAGCCTTAGTAAGGAGGAATGCCAGCATCTGGTGGTGTCCATGACTTCAAGACTTCAGGCTGTCATTGCCAACAAAGGGTTTTGAATAAAGTAATAGAAATTATCATTTTATTTTCAGTTATTTAATTTGTCTAATTACTTTAGAGCCTCTGAAATGATAGGATTGTGTTTACAAATTAATTTTTCCCTCTCACATTTTTATGCATTCATTTAGTCCAACCCACTGAATTAAAACTTAAAGTCTGCACTTCAACTGCATTGGAGTAGTTTCATTTTTAATTCATTCTGGTAATGTACAGAAGCAACATTAGAAAATGTGTCTGTATCCAACTACTTATGAACCTGACTGTATATCAAAACCAGTCAGCTAAGATAAGATAACATACCTTTATTAGTCCCACAAGGGGAAATTTCATGATAAATGAATTAAATGATATGTGTAAGAAGGCCTACCGAGCAGTATGGTATCCCAGTGGAGACGGCAGGTCTACTTGGTCCAGGTGCATTGCTGGATTCCTAAGGAAACATTTACATCAAGAACGACTGTTACCTACCTACCAAATAAATAAATAGAGTTGTATGATGTTCGATCTCTGTCTGCTGCCTACCAAATGAAATAATTGAGGACTAGCTAAGTAATTTAGCTTTGCTAGTTTTGCTAACACTGCTATCAACCCGTCCAAAATGCTATACAATAAACTTACCAAGTGCTGCGGCGTTTGTGAGGTCGAGGGTGCATTACCGCTGAATCGTTGGATGGCCGACAAAACGGCTCTTCCAATGTTTTCAGCTAAATCGCTGGACATGCTGGTAGGGAATAGTCGAAGCAGCTCATGGCAGTCAAAAGTGACCGTAAGAGGAGCGCAAACACAGAACCTGACCGCGACCGGCACACTTTAGCGCGGGAGGTTTTCTTGAAGCTTTTATTTTGGTATTTCCGTTGACCCGTACAATAAATTTGCATATTAGCTAAATATTTAGTTTCCCGTAACATTTAGATTTAACATTTAACATTTAGATTTATATATAACATTTAGATTTAACATTTAACATTTAGATTTAACATTTAACATTTAGATTTATATATAATATTTAGATTTAACATTTAACATTTAGATTTATATATAATATTTAGATTTAACATTTAACATTTAGATTTATATATAACATTTAGATTTAACATTTAACATTTAGATTTATATATAATATTTACATTTAACATTTAACATTTACATTTAAATATAATATTTACATTTAACATTTAACATTTACATTTAAATATAATATTTACATTTAACATTTAGCATTTAGATTTAACATTTAACATTTAGATTTAACATTTAGCATTTAGATTTAACATTTAAAATCCTGTTTTAAATATGAAAAGTTACAAATATTTTAGTAAATGTTGTAAAAAATGACTCGAAAAAACATGTTTTTGTAAGATTTAGAGCTAAATGTGGAAAAATGTTGCTGTTAATTTCGGCATGTTTCAGTTTACAAACGGCGCCCCATACACCTGCACTTCCAAGTCCTGCCGAGGGATGACGCTAGAATCAAAAAGACAAAAATCATAATTGGGGGGTCTCCAGCTCTGCCTGTGTCACATGGAAGCACAGTAGCTGAGTCGAGGGGATGCGAGCAGAGATGGAGGGGGCTTGAGGAACTGTGGAGGAAAAACCTGGCCCTTGGAGATAATAGTGGAGATACAGCCGCGGCAGCAGAAAGGCAGGTTAACACTTCCCAGCCTCCCTTCTGGCTGGGGAGCAGAGGAGCACGGACAGGGCGCACGAGGGGGTCAGCGGGCGCTCGAAGGATGCCACATGCAATATGGTGCATTCCTGTTTTGTGAAGCCCAGGAAAGCCAAGTTATCGCCTTTGATTGATTATGCTCGCGGGGAGCGGCCGGTCCGAGGGGAAGCAGACACTGAAGGAAGCGACCGGGGTTGACGCTGCGCCTCCCAAAATCTCTGAGCTGAGTGAGTACAGGGATGCTATAGCGCAATGCTCTGTGCCCGTGGCTGTGTGACAGGCTGGAGGGAGGAGGGAGAGAGTGAACGGAGGGGGTCATTGATATGTGACTATACATTCAGCTCGATAAGCTGCACACGTACTCAACATCCTTAATTCATCCAGGGTCTGTAGCCTGTGCAGCTTTTCTTGTTTTTCTTTGTGCCCGACCTGCCGTTTCTTCATTTCCCCTGGTCATACATTTAACACAGAGACACGTGTGCACCCACCTCAGCGTTACTGCGCTGTCTTGCGTGATTTAAACCCCGAAATTAAGGGATTCATCAGAGAACTTAGTAGTGATTTGACGAGAGAGGGGCACAGGAAACCTCCGATCACGCGTTTTTCTCTGACTGTAAAGCGTAAAAGATCATTAACGTTAGACCTGCCCTTAACATTTGCACCCCCCCCCCCCCCCCCCCCCCCCCCCCCGTCTCCCTCCCTTCTAGCACTCATAAATTGGGGAGCAGGGGGTTGGGGTGGTTGTGGTGGTGGGGACAGGCTTTGTCGTGTAAGTTACCACCTGACCTCAGGGACACAACATCCTTTACCATCCTCACTTTGATCTGGAATTAATCGGAAACGCTTTGATGATTAGAGGAGAAGAAAAGGGAGGGAAAAATGAGCTACAGGCTTAATGAAACCACGATAAAAGCACACTGCATCAGCCTGACATTTTTCATTTTCTATAACCGCCTATAGCATCTACCTGCACGGGCATCTTTTCCTTTCTTTTTTTTTTTTTAACCCCCTCCTCCACCTCTCCTCCCACCCTAAATAATCCCCGTTCACACCCTGCATGGTTTTCGGTCTCAGGCGGCTTCATTTGAGTCGTGGTCTGTAACCTGTTGTCACCAGCATCACTGCAGTTTGCCAGAGCCGGAGGCGCGGCGAGCCGGGCAGCCAGCAGCCGAACCGTCACCCAGTGTGTGATTGATGCCTGCTGAGTGGGTGCCATCATGAGCCACATACATACAACCTCCCCTGAGACACGCACGCACGCAAGCCCTTCGTGGAGGGCTATCATTGAGTGTGAACACACCATTTCTCCAGCATCTCACTTCGGATAGGATGGCAATCATATGATCTCAAGAAATTATATTTATTCTGATTTGATTTAGATAGGAAAGTGTCACATGGTGTCAGAGGCAGGGGTAGCCACGGATAAAGACGGAGCCTCTTCCACACGGGCTTCAGCGTTCTTCCTCACAGGGGCATGGTTAGTCGTTGTTGCAAGCAAACATTTGACCTAATTCACATTCTCACACAATAGCAGACTCCTCTCCCTCCCTCCCTCTCTCTCTCTCTCTCTCTCTCTCTCTCTCTCTCTCTCACACACACACACACACACACACACACACACACACACACACACACACACACTGCTGTTATTTGTGTCACACAGAGGGTGAGGTTTTTTTTTTTTTGCTCCACATGAACTCCCAGGTGGTTTATCAAAACCTGAGCAGATTGGTGGAGAGGCCACTGTTGGCTGGCTGGGCTTGTTTGAAAGGAGCTCCAGGATTATTAATAATGAACAAACATGTGAATGCAGTGCATGTGCATGTTCCTAGAAAATTAAAGGCCTACTAGTATGACTTGCTTCTAGCGTTAAATGTATTCCTGAAGATGCATTTCTGTGGGTTTTACACCATAATTCTGTATTTTATCCCCATGGGCTTGTTTTATGCCACACATAGAGAAAATGAGCATGTTATTTTTTGAAATCATGTACATGTTAAAAAAAAGGGTGAAATTTTATGGTTACAGAGTATGAGTCCACATCAGTCCTGTAAACCATCCCTCTTCTTCTGCAGCCATTCCAATCAGGTCCAAGTCAACAGGTGACCTGCAGCTATCGACCGCTTTTCTGATTCACGCTGTGGTCCGTAAAACATCGGAGATCAGTGCAAAATCTCCTGTTTTCTCAAATATTTTTGCGTCATCTGGTAAACACTCTAAATTTTTGCCAACCAGTTTATCATAAGGTGGAAATTACAGGAATGCAATAAAAACACAGCAAAATATTTCACTATTTTTATTAAAACATGCCATCAGTTTGACTCACCAGAGTCACCGCTTCATGACTCCTCATAGTGGTGCTTATCAAATGAATGAAGGTGAAGCTGAAGTCAGCTTGTGGTGAAAAGAAGAAACTGTTTTAGATATACTGTTACATAATGAGGTCAGTGCATTTCTAATCCCTGTGAGATGAAAGTTCAAACGGTTCTACACACTGTTTCAAACAGTTTTTTTCTACTCTTGACTCTGGATGATGTCACTGAGAGCAGATATTCCTGATAGGGTAATCACAGGCACAGATCTGGCTGTGAGAACAGAAGCTCCATCCACATGCTGTTTAAACTTTCTGCATATGAGGGGCAGCCAATCAGAAGACAGTTACCTGAAAGAGGGAGCTAAAACAGCTTGTTTCAGATACATGATGAGTTGAGCCCCAGAGGAAGAGAAACAGGGTTTGTTTTGAAAGGGGAACCATGCAAAGTTTGCCAATTAGACTCCAAGAATAAAAATATGGAAATGAAAATGAGCATAATGAGTCAGCTTTAAGTAATATGTGGAGTTTAGCTTTTTTTTAAGCAAAAAATACAATATTTTCTTCTTTATTTACACAGTAATTGTAATGCATCACAGATGAATAGCTTGCATGTGTTGTAGAATTGCTGTATTGTGATGCCATCATTATTGTGGTGAATGTATGATATTGCATTGTAGTAATATCGCACTGTCACTTTTACTCTTTCCTTAGACCAAACATAACAAATCCTCTCTGTGAAAATTCAACTCTTAGTCAGTCATCAAATCAGTTTTCTGTGAGTCAGTTAACTGAATAATCGCTGCATTCCCACAGTCAATGCGTTATGACCATGTGATCAATTCATGTTTTAAAAATATTTTGAACAAAACAGGTTATTTATTGACATCAATGAAACGGTGTCAGATATTTTTAACTGTTTTTTGTCTTTATCGACTGACTGCTGCGGCGCTTGCAGCCTTTTCTCCCCTGATGCGTGCAGAGATGAAGATATACAAAATATGAAGACAAAACTGGATCCAAAACCTTACGCTCTAGCCTTGGGAGCTTTTAACCACATCAATAGCGTTTTGTTACTCCCAAAAGTCAAAATCGCGCTCCCATGTGATATTTTGAATCATCAAAGAACCACATTTGTCAAAACCAATACTGATCAATGATGTTCCAGTTTCCTGGTCACATACGGTCTCATCTCATTTGTGATAAACAGTCAGGGCAACACCTGGCAAATCCACACCTGCAGGTATTGAAGGATAGAGCCCGTGGTTTGTAATGAGCACACTAAGCATCACAGACAGGAGGGAGGGTGGGCTTTGTGTAGCATAAAGGCAGCCAGTGGATGGCCATTTCTTGCTCTGAGCACTACGTTCAATTGGTTGGCTCATACGAAGCAGCTCTAGGGCCAGAGATTACACTGCAGTGCTGAGGCGTCACTCTGGCTCAACACCGCAGGCGAAGGCAAGGGGATAGAGAGAAAGAAGAATGGCCAGAGAGGTGTGGACACACTCACTGACACAGAGGAGCAAGAGGGAAGGAAGGAAGGCTGGGAAACCTTGTTAGGAAATGTGACAGCCTCTTTTCATCATCTGCTTTCAGTGTTTTCAAAAACACCTGCCACAAGACTCCCACACATGTCTTCCTCCCTCCTCTCTCTCCTTTCTATTCCTCCACACCTACATCTTTTCCCTTTCTTTTCTCTAATTATCTTCTCCCGCTCCATATCCACTCCTCTGCTCTGTTGTCAAATCTGCACACATATAATTACTCTATGAATTAACTGGTCATTGCCTCCTAGGTGACTATGGTTTTTAAATCCAACATGATGTTTCAGACTACTTGCTCTGGAAGTTGTTCAGCTAAGGCGTAGCACCGGTAGATGATTAAGAGGCA